GTTGTAGACCTTGGTGTGGATTCAATATCTGATGTTGGTACTTATTTTTTGGACTTTAGTTTTAGTTTGTGATCTTCCAAAGTTACGTGTATCCTCAGATTCCAGTGTGTTCCAACCCTTAATTACTTTTGTTCATATACTTCTATGACATTGTTTCTCTGGGAAGGGACACATATACTAGATTAGCTGCTATATAAGTATGTGTTTGTAATATCTATTTTCAAGCCATCGCCTGTAAATGCCTGGTTAAAAGAGCTGATAGTGATTGCTCACTGTCATGCAGTTATGTGCATGGTGTGCCTGGATTGTCTCCTCACTGACTGTTCATTCGCACAAAGAAGACCGATTTGGAGTTGCTCAACTCTCCGGTAGCAATACTGCGATCATCTCAACACTGTTGTCTTGCTTACTTGCTGTTGAAACATTTATAGGGAAGAAGTCCAATTTCTTTTTAACACATAATTATAGTCATTAATTATTTTTATTTTTTTTCCAAATATTTTCGGAGTAGGAGTTTGCTTCTTGTGGATTTCATGCCTGTGAAGAATGCTATTAATTTTTTTTTTTTGTACCACAGAGAATGTTGAGGAAAATTTTTAATTTTGATTTATGTTATTTTGAATTATGAAGAACATTATGTATTTAAACATTATATGTATTATGGAACATTATGTACTGGATTAATTTTGTTAATGTATGGTTATGAATCTAAGAATATGTTTATTAATTTTTAATTTTTTTAATTAAATTAAGGGGGTTTTTTTTGTTTTTTTTTTTTTTTTGCGACGGCACCAAACCGTCGCAAAAAACAGGTATTTTATAATTTTTAATAAATATTGCATTTTTTGCGACGGCACCACACCGTCGCAAAAAATCAAAAACCTTTTTTTGTGACATAATCAATACTGTCGCAAAAAGAAATATGCCGTCGCAAAAAAAAAAAAAACAATTTGCGACAGCAATTTTTACCGTCTCAAATAATACTTTTAGCGACGGTAAAATAGTGCCATCGCAAAAAGATTTGTATTTTTACACATTATTTGCAACAGTAAAATACCGTCGCAAATAGTAACATATGCCGTCGCAAAAAAAAGGCGACGGCATCATTTGAGACGGCATAATGAGTATTTGCGACGGCGTTTTACCGTCGCAAAAAATCAAATTTTTTGTAGTGATGTCAGCAATCCTCATAACTTCAATCTATTTTTTATTTTTTAAACAATACCGAACCATCATATTTTTCTTCTATGAAAAGACACAAACTCAAAAAAAGTACTCTTAAATTTACTCAAAACAATAGTGATTGGTACCACTAATTGTTCAAGGCAACACTATCAGTGTAACTCGAAGAATGGATATGATATGACTATTGGGTATTTGCCATGAACAGTAGTGATTGGTACCAGTAATTTGGTACCACTAAACCACTACTAATGAGGTGGAAAATCAAAAAAAAAAAAAAAAAGACACAGCAATACTGTGGCAGTGGATGGGGCCCACTGCTACATCATTAGTGTCACCACTAATTAGTGATTTCAAGCATTTTTATTACTTAAAAAGTGGGTGTATGGTGGAAATTAAACTTGATGTGATATAGATTATATCAATAATAAATCTGGTCCACATGATTCAAATTCTGAATAAATTTTTGAGTATTTTCTATTTATTTACTTGTAGCATTGTTGTTTTTTTTTCTTGAATACAGTTCCTACATAAGTTTTTTTTTCTTATATTTATTTTATTAATTGATTTTAGATGTTCTAAAAAAATTTAAACCTAAACTCCAACGCTTCCCACGTGCGCTCTATATTGTGTGCACATCATAAGTTCTTGATACCAATAGTTGTTTTCCGACCGCACCTTTTAGAATGTTGTTCACTCTGAGCTAATCTAAACCTATTGCTGTAAATTTGGCCCAGCCCGGCCCGGCCCATGTTGGACCTCATGGGCTCCCGCCAAAAAATTAAGCCATGGCCCAAGCCCAGGGATATTCGGACCTTAGGCAGGCCAGCGGGCCGACCCAATGGGCTTGGGCCTGGCCTCGAGCTTGGGTAGACCTAACCATTTTTTTTTTTTTTTCCTACCAAAATTTTATTATTTTCTATTAAAAAATACACTAGGCCTTGGGCGGACCGAGCAGGCTGGGTTTTTTTCCCGGCCCTAAGTGGGCCTTAAGCGGGCCGATGGGCTGGGCTGGGCCGGGCTTCAAAACAATGGCCCAGGCCCTAGCCCAGGGGCTCAGGCTAGGGTCGGGTTTGGGTCTAAATGGGTCGGGTCCATCTCAGGCCACGGGCCATTTTTACACCCCTAGCTAAACCCACACAACCTTAAAACACATTGTATAATAGAGATCTACACCTCACTCAAAAATCACTTGACACAAATTTTACCAAGCAATATAAGACTTAGGGGTTGTTTAAGATGTTCTAAATAAGTTTATTTTTTGATTTTTTGGTGAGAAAAGTAAACAAAAAAAAAATGTGCATTTGAGATAACTTTTTGTCTTTTTACGAAAAAATGTGTATTAAATTATTGAATAAAATAACAAAATTACATTATTACCCCTATGTCCTAGACTCGATGACATTGCTGATTGAAGGACAGTATGGATTGCCTTGCAAATGGTGATAACTTCAAAACATATATATATATATATAGCGCATGAGACTTCACGGGTACTATTGGGCCAGTGGAGGCCCACTACGAATCCAGTTTCGATAATTCAAACCGATCAATGTGTAGAACTCGTTGAGTATTATATGCCTGTACAACATCACGTTGATCGGATATTGATAGCTATGTGATCAAAACAGTTTTGTATGAAAAAAATGGATGGTGAAAAATAAACAGCTGAAAAAAATCTGATTTGATCGCATAGCTATTCATATCCGATCAACGTGATTTTTTACAAGCATATAGTACTCGACGAGTTCTACACATTAATGGTTCGAATTATCGAAATGAAACCCATGGTGCGCCCCCAAGGGTCCAACAGTACCCTCCAACTTAATGAATATATATATCTAATTTGTAATTTGTGCCTATGTATGTAATTTTCTCCATCACTTCAGTACCATCACCTGTGTAAAGTTGAATTGTACTTTTTTTGTGTAAATTAATTTTTTTTATTTTTAATTTGTGAATAGTGATAACTTTTTTGCTTTTTTAATAAATTTTTGACTTTTTACTTTTTTTTATAACATGCCAAACCAACCCATAGTACTCTTGTTGAGCCCGTGGGTGAGCCATCCCGAGTACGGATCCTCTGCCGTGTTTTCCTACGGCACTTCCCTACCATGGTCCAAAACAATGTTGTTTTGACTTCTTTTTTTTTTTTTTTTTTTTCCATTTTCGTTGAATTTTTTTTTTTCGTTGAGAGCTAAGAACCTAACCCATACACCACAGCAACGGTGATAAAGCGAGGCCACCGAGAATCAAAAAAAAAAATCCTTTGAAAGTAAGAAAAAGACCATTGAAGCTTTTGAGTGATGATTTGCTTGTTGGGTTTTCCTTGTTTTCTTCTCTCTAAGCTCTCAAATATCTCTAAATTCTGGTTTATTTGTGTGAATTTTGAAACTTTGTTCTTCCCTTTTCAAAATATTGTTTCAATCAACAATTTCTCTGGTTCCAACGAAGCTTGATCACCACCGCGAGACACAACGACAAACCGATCTATAAATTATAGATTTGTGAGACAAACCGATCTAAGAGACGGCGTCGATGCAAGCGAAGATCAAATATCAGAGATTTGACACGGTGGAGATCTTGAAGCGGCTGTGAATCAAACGGCCCCCATTTATTCCATTGTTCTATTCTCTTCTTCTTCTCAATATCCTATATATATAGACTCTGTTGAATCTTTTAGCTCCATTTAGGACAACAAAGCTCTTCACTGAATCTATGATCCTATATATACATATGTATACATACGTGTGTGTATATATATATATATGATTGGGTTTGAAGGGTTTGTTTGTTTTGTTCTGTGAGAAAACTGAAAGGAAATGAGCTCAGGCTTTTACACTTAGTCAAAATGAGTTCAGCCTTTTTCAAATGAGAGAAGAAAACAGGGGCAAAAGGAAAAGAAAGAAAGAAAGAAAGAAAAGGAAAAAGAAAAAAAAAATCACCAAAACGACGTCGTTTTGGACCATGGTAGGGAAGCGTAGGAAAACACGGCAGAGGATCTAGACTCGAGCCATCCTAACACTAATCATTTGCAAAAATTGTTAGATATTTCTAGAATATTAGCGCCATGGATTATTTTAAAGGGAAATTTAGTCAAAACTCTTCTATTAGACTTTTATTTGATGAAAATAACAATTCAATGTATTTTAGGAGAAAATACGTAATTGAGCAAGGATAAAGTAAATTTTTTATTTTTTTATTTTTTATGTGGAGTCGAGGGGTGGGGAGGAGGATATAGAAAGTGAATTCTGGATCTCAAACATGTGTTAAGCTTGGTTGATCCCAAGTAATTTGATATTTTTTTTATTACACAGTGACCCTTTTTTGCATCAGTTTATAGTAAGGCTTCATTTAGGAACAGATTTTTTTAAGCAATTGTTTAGTTTTTTGGTTAAAATATGATGTAAAAAAATTAGTATATTTAGGATGACTTTTTAGTTTTTTATGAAAAGATGTAAAAAAATAGAGAGAAAATGAATCTTTGACTTGATGGTATAAGTTGTTGATTTTTTAATTTTTTTAATAATTTTTTAACTTTTAAATTAAAAAGTGATATTGTCAAATGAGGCCTAAATTTAAACATCAAACACAATCACAAAGACTTACTAAAATTGGGCTATGTTTAATTAGTCCGATGGATAGAAGAGAGCTACGAAATTGTTAGAATTGTTGGAATTACAACATGGGCCCAATTTCAAGCTCTCATAGTGAGATCAAGGCTCAATTCAATCTCTCACTGGACCTAAAAGATAAATCATGAAGAGGCCCAATCGCTGGTAAGATCAAGGATCACAAAATCGCTTCGCAATACCAAATGTTCAAAAACTTATTAAATATTTTATTTATGGAAAAATATGAAAGTCCAATCAAGTCCACTTGTAGACTAAACTAAGCACGCATTCTTTGACATGGCAAGTGCCTTGATACCCACACAAGGCACCAAAACTTACTATATCAAAACAAACATCCCTATCATGAGAATAGGTCAACAACCACTTTAATAATAATTCAAGCTCATACGTATGAACATGCCCTTTAATTAATCTTCCTACAGTTCTTCCTTATCTCTCCATTTGATCCGGTGAGGGGGCTAATATCACCCATCTTGATCATGGCCGCTACAAAATCAAAGTTGAAGGTGCTTTGGCTGCTGCTATATGTCTGCACAATTGAGTCGGTTGATCCACCATTGAAAAGTTGTTGATCAGAGTGAAGGAGCCCTCTCTGGTTGACAAGGTCTCTATAGTAGTTGTTGTCAAAAGCTGTTGGGGTTTGAAGATCAAGAGGTGCCAAATTGTTGTCTCCTGAGCCAGAGGTGCTCGGGCAGTTGCCTCGCCTTGTTTGAGCAAATGAACTGTCTATGTTGGTTTCATTATATATGCGTGCTCTGAAGGAGGTGCATCTTGCTTGTCCAATTGTGTGAGCACCTGTTTTCGTAAGGCCATACAACCAAGTAGAAAAAATATTTTAGAATGAGTTTGCCTATACAAACAAAAAAACATAAAAAAGAAAAAACTATACAAAATGATATGGATGGGTTGTAGGTTATCACTTTACAATAAATGCAACATCTGGTGGTGGAAATTCTGTAAAGAAGTTTTGGAAGAATTTTGTTTTCCATCTAGAATTTGGACGTAATAAAAGGAAAAAATTTGCATTAATGTTGTTTCAAAATGTTCACTCTTGCGATCATTTGCCATTAATAGGTGCTACAATGTTTAAATATTTGGATAAAAATGAAATGAAAAAGGGAAATGCAAGTGAGTAGAAAAAATAGCCTACAAAGTGATCAGAAAATAATTTTAGAAAGGGCAATAAAGTGGTCCGAAAGTAAATTTAGATTGTTATAGGTCACAATGAATTTAGTTCACACACTTCAATCTTTTGGTCATTTTCTAGTTGTCCAATTTTTCTTGTTCTGCAACATTATTAAATGAAAATAAATGTTATAGTAAGGTCGGTAGAGTAAACCAGATAGAGTAACCACGTCCTTGGTGGAAAGGCCAACAGCATTGAAACTAGAGACAAGGGCAGTAAGGTTAGAAGTCGGAGGAGGAATGCTGCTATTGGCAGCACCCTGGCTCGCTGTCCTAGCATCTCTTCTTCCCAGTTTTACATTCCAGTCAGGCCCTCCAAGCTACAACAGAGATTGAATTGAAAGAAACAAATGCTTACGGACGGTAAACCTCAATGAAAAAGAAAGATCACCAACATAATTGTAAGAACTTGATTGGATATGAAGATGCGATTTTGATGGTTTGAAAATTAGTACTTACAATAACAACAGAGTCTCTGGAAGCAATGGCCAACACATCAGCACATGAGACTACGCCAGGGCATACATTTTCCACTGCAGATTTTATATTGTCAACAACATCAAAACCCCTAACAGAATTAAAGTTTGGAGCTGCCCTCTTCTCCCCTATGAACGTAGATGTGTCATCAAGAAGGATTGATCCATCGCAACCCTGAAAATGTCGATGAGAAATTAAACAAGTTGTACAGATAGTTATGGACATAAAAAAAATTAAAAAAAAAACTGAAAAAAATAAATTGAAAGATACTTTTGTAGGAAAATTTAGTCAAAACCCTTTCATTGTATCCTTGTTTGATGAAAATGGCAACCTAATTTATTTTTTTTTCATAAACCCCCTAAAGAAAAAATACATAATTGAGAATATCTTTTTTTTTTTCTTTCTTGGATAACATTGTTAGAACTGTCAAACATAATAACATGTTACTGTCAAATACACTAATTGTCAAGCAGAGTAATATGTTACTATTACTGTTTACATCAATTACAACGGTAATAATTTAAAAAAAAAGAAAAGAATTTCATAGTCAACATACATCTTATTTGATAGATCTTGATGAAAGAATTCTAAAAATATTAATTTTATTAAAAATCGATATTTACGTCAAAAGTTATATTATTTTAAAATTTAATATTTTAATAATAGTGATATTTATTAGACTTTTCAAGAAAAAATTTGTGTACTTGTCTTTAATACATTAAAATTTTATTATGAGTGGATTATTACCAAATCTCTCATTTTTGTATCATATAATTTATTTGTTTATTTATTTTATTTTTTAAAGGCATTCTCGTCTAGAAACGCCTAAAAGTTATATATATATATATATATATATCATATTTTAAGAAAAAAATTACTAAAGACAAAACATACTTTGAGGCTTTGCAGTTTACATGTCAGCCCAAATCGCGGAGGGGATTTTTTTTTTTTTTAATAAAAAAAATAATTTAGAGAATTAACTCACTTTTTAAACTATTTAAAAAATTAACTTACTTTTTTAAATCGTATTTTTAAAATATAATTTTAAATTAAAAATTACATTTTCAACATGTATTTTCAACTTGAAATCACATTTTAAAAATGCAATATATCTTAGTGAAATTCATGTCATTAAGTTGAAATTGCATGTTAAAAATACAATTTCAATTTAAAATTGTATTTTCAAAATGTAATTTAAAAAAACAAGTTAATTTTCCAAATAATTTGAAAATTACGTCAATTCTCTATTTTTTTTTTATAGAATATTTATAAAAATAAAAAAAAATAAAAAACTCCCAAATCCTGGCATTCCACGAAATAGAAATTTTCGAAACAACCCTACCACAAGCTGAAGACGTAGTAATACCTTAAACACACTACTTATTACACAAATTGAGATAGAAACAAAATATAATAGAAACGGTATGTCTAGGTCACTTGTAAAACTAGAAAGGTACTAGGAAGTGAAAATGCAAGTAGAGAATTACATTAACAAAGCAGTCATGGAAGAACAATCGAAGAAGAGAAGCGCCCATCCGGGCTTCATTTGATATTGCAGATTGCACTACAGATTTCACAGTGGGAAAAAGATCGGGACAAGAATAGGAATAGAAAGTTGGTGAAAGTTGAGCTGAAGAGCTTCCCATGAAAACAAAAAGGAAAGCCAAAGTCACAATGGCTTTGAAAGAAGAAGATGAATCCATTGTTATGTATTAGAAGTTGAGAAAGGACTGAGAATAGGGTTGTTGTGAAGAATGGTGCAAAAAAAGTGGAAGTATATATAGAAAGCTTTGAGAGCGATATCTCAAGGTGCCGGCCTGGGCAGGTTACCTAAGTCAAAGACTCCCTTGCATGGCATTTCTATATTTGGAAGAAAAAAATAGTAAATATAAACGTTCTTGGTGCAGGTTATGTTGTAATCAAACACAGATATAACAACAACAACAAAAAAAAATCAATTATAACTAAAATAACAAAAATATATTATAATGAAATCATAACTAATATCATAGTGAGTCATAACCAACACAATCACAATAGATCATAATTAAATCATAACAAACACTACAAAGAGTCATAATCAAATCATAACAAACACCACAATGAGTCATAATCAAATATCATAAAGGTCGTAACTGAGACATTTATGGTACACACCCCTTTTTAGATTTATATTATAGAATTTCTCATGATTTACCTTTTAAATACTGATATAGGAAGACGTATCGATATTGACTGTAGTGTAATAGTATCATAAGTATTAAGTGATACATATCAAAAATCGAATGTCGTAATCATAAATTTTTTAAATCATTACCTGAACAAAAGAGCTTTATAGCAACTGAACCGACTGTATTAATTGTGAATAGACCATATCAACATGTATCAACTAATATTTAAAATCATAGTCTTATTGAAATAGGGTTTGAGATGATCAGATATACAAAATTTTATTCTTATATTTTATACTTACTTGACCAAAGGCCTCATGGGATAGAATTATTGATTATTTTGAATTGATTACCTTGATATAAAAGATAAACTAGAGGTAGATAGGCGTATTTTTGTTTTGAAAACATGTGTTTCAAAAGAGTGTGGCATGGCTAATAATTGTCAAAAAAGGAACCCAATAAAGCAACTTGATCATAATTATGATTAAGTGAAGACTAAAGAGATCATGAGAATAAAGGCATAAGGTGAAGTTTGCTGCACAAGTCAAAAAAAAAAAAAAAAAGTTAGAGCTTTCGACTTTTCACGTGAAACTCTCTCTGCTGGGTAAAAGGAAGTAGATGTGCATATTTAATTTTGAAGTAGATATGCATATTTAATTTTGAAGTAGACCATAGCCACCGACGCCTAAGGAAAACTTGTTTGTTCACACTTAACAATTGGGTCAATAGCCCTTTTTTTAAATTTTTTTTAATTGGTTATTGTATTAAAATTCATTAGTTTGAGTGAAGTTCAAAACAATTAATCTACTACAAAAACTAATTAAAGAAGAGCGTAATGTTCACTCATTTATTGCTTGTTAAAATTCGTACCAAATTTAAATTTAATATGTTTTAAAAAAATATTATCTCTTAGAATTTTTCAAAATTATAGCTAGAGTATAGCATTGCCCAAATTTTGGAAAACTCTCTTTCTTTATGTCTCTCATTTTGGGCACATAAATAATTTTCACTTGGTATTTTGTCAACATAACTTAAAAAATAAATTTACATCATTGGAACAAGATATTGTTAGAAATTGACCCTTCCTAACTAAGATCGGTGAGATACGAAATAACAAATAAAAAAGAAAAACGAATCAAATAAATTACATACCCAAGAACACAAGAATTTACGTGGTTTATCCCAGAATTGGGCTACGTCCACGGATGTTGCAGTTTTCACTATGATCAGAAAAATACAACTCCTTCTTAACCTAAAAGAAGCGCCCTCTCGTCTATTTATAAGTATAGAATTAGGGTTATACGGAAATAACATAGAAATTACGAAAGTACCCAAAAAAATTCGGCCGGGGGGTAAACCCCCTCTAGACCCCCATCCCCTTTGGAAGGAAGCCTTCCCAAAACCCCATTGGACCCAGTGTTTGAGTGAACAGTAGGGTTGAGTGAACAGTACTTATCACGGTCCACCGACCCAACAATCTCCCACTTAGAGCCTGATAACACAAGCTCTTCATCATCTTTATCATATAGAGGAACGTTGCAACAACTCAATCTTCCTTCATCAATCTTGAAGGCTAACTGAAGTTATACACAACTTCAGTTTATCAATGATAACTGTCTTGGTCAACATATCTGATGATTTCTTACTGTCTTGGATCTTCTTAAGGGACAAGATTCCATCATCTACAAGTGAACGAATGAAATGGTATCGCATCTAAACATGTTTCGTCCTAGAATGAAAAATCGGATTCTTTGCAAAAATAAATAGCACTCTGACTGTCACTATGCAAAATACTCATCTCTTGCGTCTTACCCAACTCTGCTAGGAAATTCTATAACCAAGTTATCTCCTTCCCAGCTTTAGTAATAGTAACATACTCAACCTCTGTTGTAGAAAGGGCCACAATATTCTGTAACTGTGAAATCCAACTCACTGCTGTACCACCCAATGTGTAAACGTAACCAATAGTACTCTTTCAATTATCCATATCACCAGCCAAGTTTGCATCAACATAACCATGTAACTCGATGCCAGTTCGTTTAAAACAAAGTGACATGTCTATAGTACCACTCAAGTATCTAAGGATCTACTTCACTGCCTCCCAATGTTGCTTACCTAGATTACTCATGTACCTACTAACCACTCACACTCCCACTATATGTGCAATGTCTGGTCTAGTATAAACCATAGCATACATTATGCTACCGATAGCTGAAGCATACAACAAAAATACTCTTTAGACACGAAAACTAATGACGAAATTTTTTTTTGTCACGAAATACGCATCTTTTAATGACAAAAATCATATTTTATCTCCAAATGTACCATTTTTGGCGATAAAAATAAAATTTCTTCACCAATCTAAATCATAATAAAAAAAATAGGTGACAAAATTATATTTCGTCATTATTTATATTTTTTTTGTCACCAAATATTTTCCCACTAATATTTTCGGAGGGCGCCAAAATTGATAGACTTTTGGTGACGAAAAAATTGGTCACCAATTATAAAATTAATAATGATGAATATATTTTTGTCACCAATAATTTTTAGTAATTTAATATCATTTAGTGACAAAACTATTTTTGTGGCCAATATTTTTATCTTTAGTGAAGATACAAAACTACGTCGTTTTGAAATTCTTAAATCGAAAATATGTTTCCTGAGCCTTGAGCTTCCCTCATTGTTTCCCTCTTCCTTAATAAAAAAAATGTTTCTTGTTTCCTTGAGCTTCCGATCAGTTCATCAAGCCCTACCCACCATCTCCTCACTTCATTCCCTGGGTTTGCCGCTCTTCATCTTCGCCTCTGCCTTGAACTTACCAGGTTAGTGCCTCTCTCTCTCTCTCTCTCAATCTCTCTATCTCTGTTCATGTATATATATATATAATCGATCGATTGACCTTCCTTTTTCATCGTTGCAACTCCTCACCTGCCATTGTGCTTACCAGGTCAGTCTCTCTTTCTCTCTCTCTCTCTCTCTCTCTCTCTCTCTCTCTATTTATATATATATATATATATCTCAATATACAACGATTTTTTTTTTTTGGATCTCTCTAATCAGTCTTGTTTCATCGAATGCTCTCTGCAATTTGTCAACTTACTGCCCTCATTTCTATTTCTAGTGAAGAATCCATATCTATGTCTATATCTATATCTCTATCATTTGATTTTCATACATACTTTCTGATATATATTTTTTTAATCTCTATCATTTGATTTTCATACATAGACTTTCCGATTGATTTGTAATCGATCTGTGCTTCTCTCTTATTTTTCTTTTATACCCTTGTGTTTGTATATTTGTTTCTGATGCAAGATTGTTTCTTTTCTTTTTTTTTTGAAAATTTTCTCTTCTCTGTTTGTTTGCTGAGAAAACCGAGCATTAGAACCAAATACAATTAAAAAATAGCTTCATGATTGGTAATCCAACTGGTCTTTGCTTGTTGCAGATACCAATCTTACCTGTGTATATATATAGATACAGGACTTGTGTGCACACTGCACACAGGACTTTGCTTTCCTTCCTTCTTTTTGCTGTTGTTTGGCTGCCAAGAATTGTAGATGAAAAGAAGGAAAATTACTGTGTCAAGTACTACTGAAGTAGTGATCTTTGAAAAAAAGTACTACCCAAGTAGTTCTTGTGACAAATTCCAAAGATTTTTCCTAAACCCAAACATGTGCAAGTGAATTTAAAAAAAGAAAAAAGAAAAGACAAAAAAGTAGATGAATAGAGAAGGAGAAAATTACAGTGTCTGTCAAGAACCTAAGTATAGTGTTTGTGAGAAATTCCAAATATTTTCCTTGAACCCAAACACATGCAGGTGTTTTGAGGAAAAGATTAAAGATATATGTGATGAGATATCTTCAGCTGTATAAGATTTTGTATTGGCAAGTTCATGGATCCCATTTGTGTGGATCTCTTTTTCTATTGGCAACTATTTCCCATTGGCCAGTGGCGAAATCTTCAATAACCAGATCACGGGTGTTGGTTAACTTGATTGATGATTTCCTATCAACCACCAATTTATGGATTAAAAATAAAAAATGAGATAGAAACTGATCTTGTCTTCCATTTTGTTTGTTTACTTGCAATATATATATATATATATTTTGGGAAATAACAATTCAGGATATATTTTGAAAGTTAATTACAAATCTGTAAAATATATGATGTAGATGAGCATTCATTATGACTTTAATTGTATTAGGTGGTGATGCAGATGATAGAATGATGATGCCCTTAAAATTTTAATATGTAAAATATTTTTTCTTTTTTTAAAGTAGAAAATATTATTTTTTCAATTAATATTATTTGGTTCTTGTATTTTTAAGTGAAGGAAGGAATGTAATTTGTTTAGTTTTTCTTGTATTTTTCTTATTTAATAGAGGTCGCTCGTTTATAGATGATGTTGTTTTATACTTCTATTGCCTGTCATTTTTTGATAGGACCGGTTCCTGTTGTGAGTGGAAGTTTTATCCTTTTCTCATCAATTTGAGCATGCTTCTTTTTTAAGAAATTAGATGATTTTAATTTTCTTGGCTGGTGCATGCTCCCGACAGATTTTGCAAGTCAAACTTTTAA